AAGTGTTTGCGGCTTGGGTTAAGGGTTTAGGAGTTTAGGGCTTAGGGTTCTAATGACGTGATTTTGCGAGCGACCTGCACGCTGAATTGGTCTAGTGAGGTGGACCCCACTCTTGGGCTGTAAGGGTTGTGGAGTTCTCCAGGCCCCGTTACTAAACCCTAAACCTTAAAGCCTAAAGCCCTAAATTGCATGGAAAGTACATACACATATGTCCCACTAACTTGCAACGTCTTATGTCTACTTCTACGTTCGTACGTGCTGTGTATATCATAGTAAACACTTGAACTGTTTAATAATCCGGCTGGGACTTGAACTCCAAACGTGCTGCTGGAACAAGGGGGCTGTGTGTCCTGTAGCTTGGGGCAGGTTTGCTCCTAAATTTGTTTTTGATGGCTGCTAAGGCGATGAAAAGACTGCCACCCTAACAATCTCGACGGCTGAAAGCGGAGAAACTCGGCCCTGATGCCTCAATTAACAAAGCGTACACCCAAACCCCACAGGCATTGCATCATGTACAAACCTGGACCGTCGAAGCCCGAAATCGTCGACCCAGGAGTAGAAGCATCTCTGTGTTGCAGTCCTTCACGCTAAGCCTCAAATGTCTGCAGCAGCCACAACGGGTTAAAGGTTTGGGTTTTAGCATGCTGATTTTTTGATTTGTGACTCCTGCCTCGCCTGTTGCTACAAATATCTCCGCTGCCTGTTGCTGCTAAATCTCTGCCATATTCGTCTTCATGTGACCTATGAGCATCCAGAATCAATGGACCCTTACATAGGTCCTAGTCTTAGGCAATTCTGTTTCGGAGGATGATCTACTGGTTTCATGGAAGGACATCCTAGAGCCCATCTAGCAAGGACACTGTAACACAGTGAGGCATTGGGTGCCGAATTCCACGAAGAAGCGCGTCTCACCAAATCCCACATCGCACAAATAGCAGGGGAAACGTTTGAGAACACTCGCATATCCTACAACAACCACATCGTTTAAACAAGCCGAAAAGCCAAAGCCTACATCCCCGAAACGAGAAACCCGGACTCCCTAAGCCCTAAGTCCAAAAAGCCCTAAGTCCAAAAAAGCCTTAAATCCCAGCCCTAAGTCCAAAAAGCAAGTCCAGATCCCCGAGCAACCGAAACCCTATCTTACCTCAGCAGCAGAGTAGGTCCCTTAGGTGACATTTAATTTGTTTGGGGTGCCATAGCCCCTATATATTCAGCCCTAGCCTCTTGCGGCCTTCGAAGAGGTGTCGCGTCGGACGCCTTGGAAGCAGCTGCGCTACGTGCTGCCCTCGACCGCGTCGGAGCCCCCAAGGGTTGAGTATGTTTAGGATACTATCGGGTTAGTACTGTGGGGTTATATGGGGCTATCATGACAGGGTTACCACTATAGGGTTACTATTGTAGGGGTACTAAGGTGTTGATGTTCAGTTTCAGGGGGAGAAGGTTCGCTGGACATCACGATTCTGGCCTCGGTGGAGCGTACAATGACGACCGCCATGATGTGTGTCTTCTGCCGTAGTTGTGGTTGCGACGGTTATGATGCTGGTGCCAGCCCCCGTGCTGGGTCCTTGATGTGCTGATCGACTGCATGACTGACTAGTCATTTGATGAATGGATGGATGCATAGAGGGAGGGAGGGAGGGAGAGGGAGGGAGAGGGAGGGAGGGAGGGAGGGAGGGAGGGAGGGATGGAGGGATAGAGGGAGGGAGAAATGGATTGAGGGAAGATAAAAGAGAAGCTCGCGAAAGTGATGATGACTATTCAAGCTATCATCGTCAAAATCATCAGCACCAGAAGAAGCAGCAGCAACGCTATCACCGGCAAAACATCCGCCGTCACCAGGATGCTCCTCGTCGACCTCGTCGTCGCCGTTGTAATCGTCGTGGTGTTTCCAATATGGGGGTTTCCGAAAATAGGGTACCATTTTGTAGCACCCAAAATAGTAGGATCCTTATTAAAAGGACCCAAAAAAAAGGTACCCCTTGTTTTCGGAAACTCCCATATTGCAGCCCGCACGCTGAGCTTTGACACTCAGGTTGCCGGCCAAAGCGGCAAAGTGGACTTGGTCTACTTCGATGCCTATTCGCTCCTGTGCCCAGGCGCCCCAAAGCACAATGGCCGATGTATGGGCCCTAAACTCAGAAGCCGAACACTCAACAGTGACTCAAGACTATACCAACAACAAGCTCGAACACCAATCGGCCATGCGGCGCGAGCCCGAACATCTTGAATTCAACGCGAAGTCTTGTCACTGCCGACATTGATGCCCTTGAGCAGACATGTCATGGTGCACGCATCCCTGCCAACTCCAATGCTTGAGGTTTGATTTGAAGGTGTTTAAGCAAGTTTGGGGTTTAGTATCTGGAGTTGTTTGGGGGGCTTGCGGATTTTAGATGTTTTTTTCTGATTCGGATTTGGGCTTCGCCTGAAGATTTCAAAGTCTAGTTTCCCGTTGATCTCAAGTTTCATTATAACATTAAGCTCACAAAACAGTAGGCTGTTTCAGTTGGAGGCAGAACAGAGGGGTTGCCGGCCCCTAGTCAGGATCTACAGCCGAGGACACCGTGCATGCGGCCGCATCTGGTTGCTGGGATACGCCATAACTGGGTGGACTTAGAGTTAAAGAGCCTGCAGATGAAGCCAGAACTTGGTGCCTAAATCCTGAAATTTGAAACCAAGAAAAAACGCGAATCCACAAGGTCAAACGCAGCAAAAACTCCAGAGCAAACCGCAAACCCAAAAGGTTAAACGCCTGAAATCTATGTAGAGCTCACCAGAAAATCCTAAACGAGTCCCACAGGGCTGCACAGGGCTTTTTGTTGGGGGTTGGAGAAGGGCACTTTAGACTTTAGGGCTGTATTATGAGTTTACTCGTGCGAGGTCTCTATCCACAATGCTCCCAAAAGCTCGGCTCAGCTGTAGTAGCCCTCAGTCCTAAACCCTAACCGAAATATGAGGGCCTTACTGCTTCTACTGGGGTCTTGGAGTATATCAGAGTCTTATGATCTATAGGGACTATAAGGGATGTTATGATGTATTCAGATCCTTATATTTCACCCAGCAAGTTCATACCCACAAACCCTACTGTAGGCCTCTAAAGCCAAGTCCAAGAGCCTTTGTGCTTTAAGTTCGAATCTAATTGTTAGGGCCCTCAATTACACTAAAGAAACCCAAACCCTACAACCTAAAGGCTTCGCCGGACTGAAAAAGGAGCGGTTTTTGCCTTTTCTAAAAACCCACAGGGTCCTAAGTACCTACATAGTAGAATGTTGGGTTTCTACAAAAGGAGCTGCTATTCTGATTTGGGAAAGCATACCTCTTCACAGTAACCAGGACCCTTTGGGCGAAGCTAGCGTCAACTATCGCCCAGCCGTGCTAGGAGGGCCTGCGCAAAGCACGCAGCCTGGGGGCAAAGGCCGCGCTTAGCAAGTAAGGCTGTAGGTTTCTGTAGTAAGGTTTTGTAAGGATTTGTTACAGATGTCTATGAAGGTTTCTGTAAGAGTTCAGGATTTTTCTAGGCCGAGGTATATAAGGATTTCTATAAGGGCCTATCCAAGAATTGGATTTGAAGGAAACCCAGATGTGTCTCCGAAGACTAAACTACCCATAGGCCCTAAAGTAGTTCCTTTTGGGGTTCGTATTTAGAATTTTACTAGGGAATCCCAAAAAGGAACTACTTTAGGGCCTATGGGTAGTCGAGAGGAGGGCCTGGCTTGGGTCGATGCTATGAAGCGTTTGAAACGATAGGGGAAACCCCCAAGAACGATACCCCTTGTCAAGGGTCCGCCTCGAGGAACAATAAAATTGGTGCGGCCTCATTTAGGGTTTAGGGATGCTTAGGGTGTGGGGGTTCTTTTGGCTTTGCAGGGTGTTTTCAAGGGGCGATAAGAAGCTTGAGTATCGATTAGAAGGGGCTTGCAGCTTTATTCACTTTTAGGGCTGAGGGGTTGGGGAAGTTTAGCATTGTGGGGATCATGCATTGATGTTGAGGGTTTAGAGTTTATGGTTTAGGGTTTGGGGTTGCTTCTTGTTTTGGAGTATCGGGGTTGAAGGGTTTCGGGGCTCTGGGCTTGCGGCGCGGCACCCTCAAGTGGTACTCCCTAAACCCTAAAACCTAAGCCC